ACAAAGACAGGTAGTTAAAGATGAGGCAAGTGATTTCCCTTCCTGTATCTTGCCAGAAGAAGTGAGGACGTGTAGTCCAGATCTATGTGGTTGACAGTACCTTCAGTGTGTATTCAGTGAGCACAGTAGATACAGAGCTAGGCAGGTTCTGACCTTTTTTACAAGTCATCGACTAGGAAACCACCCAGTAGGTATCTACTGCAAAAGCAATAGGGGCCTTAGAAAAGAGTGAGGATTGGGGTCATCAGGCCCTGAATATTGGTCCCACAGAATATTTTTTTGTAATCCACTGAGGCACTGCCCAGAGTAAGGTAAAATTCATAGTTGTTCTGGTAGAATAAGGCTCTATAAATGTACCTAAAGCGTGAGTGTGCCTTCAGAAAGCTGTAAAGCTTTTCCGTGGTGTTTGGTTACAGCTTGAAACACTCCAGCAAGCTCAGGTGGCCTTTCAGGGGAGCTCTGTTTCAGCTGCTGTGCAAACTGCAGTTTCAAAATGAGCATTTTCCTGCAGCTAAGCTTTCTTGGGAAGGTGTATGTAAGTGGGAAAGGGTAAATTACCAGAATTACATCTTCTGTCCTATGACTGTGTCCATAGGGCCAAACAGCCCAATGATATGTGTAAAGTTGAAGTCTAGAGAGGAAGTTGACATCACCATTTGTTCTGGCTTAGTGCATTACCTGCCTTTCAAGCCCTCTGCCTGTCTTTTGCCTTTCTCTAAGACAGCATTTCTTGTAGAAGTAGATGCCTGATATCACAGACATTTAAACAGTCAACTGATGGATACATGTCAGTGCTACTGAGGGAAGAAAGGGGACTTTGATTCTAAGGCCTTTCTAATAAGACAGTTTTGAAAATTTAATGCTTCAAATATGAAGACAATCTTCCATCATCTTCAGTAATTTATAACAGTAGTTAATACCCTCAGCCTTATTTTTTGGTTTTGGTTTGGACCGCAGACTTCAGCTTTCATCTGTGGGATCTTACAACATGGGTTTTTATAAGGGGAGTTGCCCTAGACCCTGGGGAGCAGCACTGGGAATTAGGTTTCTGTTCCCTAGACCAAGCTCGTGCTGGGAGTTTGGTACAGCCCGTGAGAGCCAGTGAGGCTCTTTGGGAAGGTGCAGTCAGAACAGCAACGCTTGGCACAACTACCTTTGCTGTTAATTTGAAATAGTAAATCATCTGAAGCATGGCTTTTAAACCTGTTAACAAATAATTAACTGCAATGCGGTCTCTTGGCCCAGCAAGGATAGCTTCTTAAGCCTGAGGCTGTACCGTGTGAGAAAGTGTATGTTCTGAACTTCAAAGAGGAGCAATAAATCTATTTATAAATCCAGACACCTCTACAGGAGATCCGTTCCTGTGTTTTCACTTACGTAATCCCACAAAACATCAGTCATACGTAATTCAATACAATAAACTTTAGAAATCACTCAGTGTCAGCGTTGCTCTGGGCTATTAGGCAGCCCTGTGTAATGCACACTGGCAGTGCTGACCTTCCAGCCAGCAAAGAGCAGCAGGCAGCAGCCTGGGGCTGTCAGTCCTGCTTCACAGACACCCCTGTGCCCCCCCGGGAGGTGTGATGGGGGCGTGCTCAGGCAGGGCAGGACACTGATCTGAGCACTGGTTGTGCATGCTGACCCCTGCAGAGATGAGCCACACGCGGCTAGTGAGCTCAGCACCCAGCATGGACACTGGAAAACCCACCTTCTGCTCCACTGGTGTCTCCCAGATGTTGGTACTGCTGGATGGGCCCATGGGAGGGGAAGGAAAGAAAGCCTGACCAGGCTTTTTTAAAACATCTGACAGAGGAATGACCAAGAAAAATTGTTGTCCTATTCTGTGATATTGCCCTCTTGCTCACAAGGGGTTAGAACAGCACAGCTCCAGACTTGAGCAGGCACCTGCACTCCCAGAAAGGCAGGATCAGAGACATCAGGAGCAACTTCAAGTATCTGTGCAGAGCAAGGGTTAGGTACCCCGTATCTCGATGGGCAGGCAGTCATCCAGCCTTTCCTTAGAAACTGCCAGTCACGGAGATCCTCTGGTCTCCCAGGGTACTTTCATCCAGGGCTTGTGTTTTGTTATCATCAGAAACTCGGTCAAAGTTAAACCTGTTTCTCTTGAGTGGGGCTGATAGTTTCTAGTCCTGTCATGCTGTTGGCTTATGCACAGTGATGCTCTGCAGTCCTCAAGCTTTTTCTGCAGGGCTTCTGCCCAGCCCCATTTTTACTCATATTTTCCAGTTCTCTTGAGCATTGTACTTCCCTCTGGCCATGGTTGAAATGCATTCTGAAGATTTTGGACAGCTTCTCTCTTTTATCAAAACTGCAGTCTCATCCAATCCAGCCACTCCAAGATGGTTGAAATCTCTCCAGTTTAGCATCTTCCAGAAATCTTATAAGTGTGTTCTCTGTTCCTCATCCAGATCATGAAACAGTTTAATGGCATCGAACTCAGGACAGAGCCATGTGGAATCATTTTTTGCAATGACATTGAGCTAGTCTTCCCAAACATGAGATTGTGCTGCATTCAGGTCACGTTTGCCTGTTGTTTTGCTGAGACCATCACAGATCATGGATGTTTACAGAGCATCAGCCCCTCCACCCTCTGGACTGGGGTGGGCCAGGCAGGGCTCTCCCATGGAGGCCAGGCATCCCCAGGCACGATTTCCAGACCACTCCTTGAAACACAGCTGGTCCAGGCGCCCAGCAGCAGCATCAAGTAACTGCTGTTTCTGCAGAACATCCCACCTCCTCTTCTAAGTCAGTTTGGAGCTAATGGTAATGAGAAAGGCTGCTGGAAATGCCTGTAGTGGGAATTGAGCCATTCCTGCTACTGCCCTCATCCCTGCGAGATTAAATCCTTTGCAGAGGCTCCCTGCAGCAGCTCATCATCAACAATACCTTCACCCCAAAAAGGGAAAGAATCAGATGCTTTCTTTAAACCTGCCTGTAACTCCTGGGCTAATTCACAGGCCCAGGGCAGGATTTAGGCACTTTGTGAATGTCTGAGTTGGGGGAGTGTGTCCCCTCCATGCCTGCTGGCCAGAGAGGCTCGTCATGAGCATGATTATTCCCAACTGTGGTAGCCTAAGAAGACACAGCACCTCTTGCCACGGGGGCAGCAGGACTATGGCTTACTTAATCGTGGTACAGGTAGTCACAAGGGAGCCTGTGTCAGTGCTGGGAGAAGCGGGATCCCAGCTATCTGGAATGGGCTGAGCTGGTTCCCGTGCTCCCCTCTGCCACCCACGCAGCACAGCTCCCTCTCTTGCATGGGCTGATCCTGGTGTTGCTGTTCTCCTCTGCCTTGTGCAATGCCCAGGAACCTAATGATAGCCTGCTGTGCTGGCTGCTGTGGGCAGACACAGGAAACTCTTCCAAGGGGTTTTCCTGGTCTTGGCTGCTGTCCCATCCCACCTCACCCACTCGTGGCTTTGGAGCACTGTTTCTCACATAGCTGGGGTCCCTGGGGTCCTATTGACTGCAGCATGAGAGCTGAGGAACTGTGTCTCTAGGGGAGCCCATCTGTTCCCATTTGCTGTCTCCAGGCTCTTTGCTTCCCCTCATGCCCCTCTGTTCCCCTCAGCCCCCTGTCCTGAGCAGCACCACCAACCCCCTCCGCTCTCTGGTGCTGAGCCTGTTGGGTGGGAACTGAGAGCACATCCCTTTGGGTGTGCTGAGAGAAGGGGTGACCTGGAGGGATGGCTCTTCTGTGAGGGGACCAGCTGGGGGCACAGCACCTGAAGTCATAGCAGGGCTTTATCAGCAGCACAGCATACAGGAGGGAGGAGGAGCTTGTCATGGTTTTTGGGTCAGTGGCACAGAGACATGCACAGCTGCTCCTTTCTTCGGTGTCTCAGTGGCACATACAGAGCATTTTCCATTTCATTTCTTGCAGGTGGGAGCTTTGATTTCCCTTACAGTCTCTCAGCCCCCTTAGCAGGGGCTTGCTCCTGCTTTTCATTACTATACCAGACATACTTGATCTAATGGCTTCTACAGGTGGCGTGGGGTACAAGAGGGTCCGGCCATGGTTGTCAGCTGTCATCCAAAGTCAGAGTTAATCCAGGAAAACAGTAAAAATTAGTAATGTATATTGCATTCCTCCAATCCATACGCTTTCCATTAGATGATCTTCCATCCTCCTTAGCACAGGAGGAAAACCCTGCCAATGGCAGTCTTCTGACTCTGAAAGGCAAGGACTAGTCGTGCCTGGAAAGCCAAACTTGCATTCCTGGGCACACTGTCTATGCAGGGAGTAGTCTCCCACCTTTAAATCCAGGCAGCAGATGCTGGCCATGTGCACAGCCTCTGCCTGTAAGCCCAGGAGCTTCTGCAGCAGCAGATGTGCCGGGCCTGGGGCCACACTGGGGTGATGCAGCCAGGGTCCCTTGTGCTGGTCTGGGTCTCCCTGTGTCCGGAGGTCTCTCAGGGTAGTGGCCTTGCCCACTGTCACCACATCGCCCAAGAACTACAACCAGGTCAGGACAGTAACGAGGCACAGTTAATTCTTTTGAGAGATCACATTTTAGCTTTTTTAAATTAATAATCTGATGAAGAAATTCCTCTAGATCCTCAGTGTCAAGAGGGTTACACAAAGTGAAACATTCAGCTTTCTTAAATAAACCTTATCTTCAATCACCCCCACACTCTAGTGGCTCAAGAACAACAGTTCTGTAATAAATGTTGTACAGCGCAAACTCCACCGGTAATTATGTGCAGATGAAGGAGGGGAAAATAAAAGACATATTAGTTTCTAAGTGTGGCTGCACATGCTTAAGTGTGGCCTGGGCCTTTGAGGTGTCACAAGCAGGCTGGGGCCACATTGTGTGAGATGGAGCTCCATGTGTGGAGCTGTATAAAGGAAGGGAGTTCCCCCCCTCCAGCTCCTGCTCCAGACGAAAAAAAAGGTCCAGAAAGCTCTGCTTTTGGTGCTGTTGGGTCATTAGCTTGCAGGGCTAACTCTCACCTTATTTTTATCCTTACTTTTGCAGAGAATGTCATCAATGGGCAGGACTATGAGGTGATGATGCAAATTGACTGTGAAGTGATGGACACCAGGATCCTCCACATCAAAAGTTCATCTGTCCCTCCGTACCTCCGAGAGCAGCGCAGAAATCACACCGACACCTTCTACAGCTCATCCCCCTCCGTCCCAGAGATGCCCCATGCCCTGAGGGCCATTGTCAAGTCCCCGCAGTAGCTCCTGGTTTAGCGCACGGCCAGTGCATCCGACATGCAGCAGGTCCTGCCACCAGACTGAGCCCTTCCCTGGCAGGGCCCTGGGGCTCCTGGCACATCAGCACAGCAGGGGCAGTCCCCCTGAGCCCGTTCCTGTGCCTGACCCTACCCAACCACCACATCCTGTCCAGGGATTATGCAGCTCAGCCCTGGGGGCCCTGTGCAGCAATGCCTGGTGCCAGAGGTGTGGGTGAGGCACCGCTGCAGTCCTGGGGTCGGCATCAGCAGCTGCTGCTCAGGGCTGGCGTGGGGGGGACACAGGCCATCCCTGCTACTTATGCATTGTTCAAAACTGTGGGTTGTTTTTAATTTTTGTCCCTGTTAGGCTGCCTCCTGAGGTGGGGTGCTGAACCCTGATGTCCTGCCCAGAGACATCACAGCAGACACCCATGCCTGAGATCAGGGAGAGTCCCTGCAGTGCGCGATGGGCAGCAGCAGGAAGCAGCGTCCAGCTCCCAGCTGCAGGTGCAGGGATTGCTGCAGCCCTACACCCCATGCTGGCCCAGCCCTGGCCCTGCACCCCATGAGCATCCCTCTTCTTCCAGAATGGCTGTGCTGGGCCTGACCAGACAGCCCCACTCCACATCAACCTCCACAGCTGCCCAAATGCCTGCCTGTGCAGCCTCCCTCACTGGGGAGCCCTGGGATGCTTCCCAGGGTAGCAGTAGTGCTGTGGGGCAGCCCAGCCACTGCCACCCAGGAGGGTGATGGGACCCTACACTTACAACTAAAGCACCCCAAGCAGAAGCACTTACAAGTAGAGCACCACAGCCCACACTGACACGGCAGTGCACACCCCCCACACCTCCCCAAGTCCGTGTGCTCTCCTGCACACTGCTGCTGTCTTCCCCAGCCCACGTGGCTGCTTGGCAAAAGGCTGGGGCTTGGCCCAGGGGAGGTGATTTAATGCAGCAGATGCATTTGCAAAGTTTTTGGTTTCTTGGGTTTGGTTTCTTTTTCCTGTTTTTTGTTTGGGTTGTTTTTTGTGTGTGCTATTTAATACTTTTCACTGCTAACAACAGCCTGTGGAGCAGCACTGGCCCCACTGGGGCTGAAGGGCTGCTTCAGTTCAGAGGGACACAGTCACAGCACCTTCCTCCTGAAACCACACACACCCCCCTCTGCCTTGCCAGCACTGACAGCCACCCACCAGGCACTGGGGGGTTGTGCTGTTTGCCCCAAACATGGAGCTGCAGCCAACTGCTGCTGCTCCAAAACCAGTGTGGAGCTCTGTTCAGTCTGTTCCAGGCCAGAGCTGGGCCGAGGGGCTGGGCACCGAGGTGCTCAGCCGGGATGAGACGCCAGCAGAGCATCGGCCTTGCATAATGACTTCAGCATGTTACAGCGTTTTTCTTCCCCTTTACAGTTCACACAGAAGATGATGGGCTTCAGTTTGCCATCCAGCTGCCTTTCCTTCATGGTCTGAGCACTGACTGGCTGGTATGGGGTTTTTAACTATGAATATTATTATTTGTGTGTGTGTGTGTGTGTGTGGCTGTTAGGAAATAAAAGCTGATCCAGCAGCAAGACAAACAGCTCCAGGGGCAGTGAGAAGGAGGATGAGGAGCAATACACCCCTGTGAAGTATGTGCCTTGCAACACCATGGAAAATCTTTGCCCTTTGCCACGTACTCGGCGCAAGCTGCGCAGGCCCCCCATCCTCTCGGCGCTCGCGCGGCTGGGAAGCAGCCGGGCTCGGCAAGGGGTTTGGCTGCACTCCTTGCACCAGTTCATTTTCCTGGCCCCGGCCCCACCTGACTGTGGGCCAGCTCACACAATATTCAAAAATAAAAACCCCGGCGGTGCCCCAGCCAGAGGCACACGGCTCCCCTGCAGTCCCAGGAAGGGATGGCCAATTGCTGGGGGGGCATTTACTGGGTTGGCACAGCCCAGCACATTGGGAAGGGCTGCTGGTAGAGGCTGGGGGCTCAGGACTGCTACAGCACTGCATCCTCAGTCAGCACCATGGGCTCCAGCGGTGGAGAGCATCTCTCATCCTGTGTAGTTCTGTTCTCTGTGTCCCTGGCACTGAAGGCAATAAAATCCTTCTTTTATTTATTATTAATATTCGTTGTCATTGTGCTTATTAATGCTGTTTTCCTTAGGCAAATGACTAGAAGGCCTGTGCTGTGTCTGCTGCCTCTTGGGCTGCAGCGTGACTCTGCTCAGCACAGCATTGGCACTGCCCATGGCACGTGCACCCAGACCCCCCTCCTGCTCCTGGGAAGGGCACCCTGCGTGAGCTCCTCCACTTTGCCAGCGGAGCCTGGCAAAGAGAAGGCCACAAGGGTCTCACTGCAGCCCGAGTGACCCCAGTGCAACTGACATCACAAAGACAAGCTCTTCTCAGGGCTGGACATGACCATGTCACCTTGGCCCAGTGCCAGTCCCAAGTGGCCTAGAGCTCCCTAGGGTCCCTCCCCCTTTGGTGTGAAAGTTGGGTCTCCCCAAACCAACCAAAACCAATCCAAAACACCCCCATGTATTTCTATGCACCCAAAGGGTTGAACCAGAGCCAAAGAAAGCCCCGAACAGCTGCAAAGGTACTGGATCCTTTATTACTGACAGCAGGTAAATACAAGATGCTGGTAGGCAGGAGGGCAAGGGCTTTGCCTCTGTGAGGGGATCCTGATGGTCAACAGCCAGGACCAGGCTGAGCACAGCAGCAAGAGGCAAGGTAGGATTTGGAGCAGCAGGACAAGGGCTCTCCAGCCCCTGGGGCTCCCCCAGCCCCACAGCCCCCTGCCCAGGCAGCCCAGCACCCAGCTGAGCAGAGCCTTCACCCAGCAAATGCCAAGGGGGACTACTTTAGGTTACAAAATGAACAAACAAAAGCCATCTACACGTATTTACAGCATCCCCCTCCTGCCACCAGCTCACTCCAGCTGTGAATCAGGGCTCGAGGTGCACCCGAACCCCCCGAGGGGGTTGCAAAGGGCAGAGCCCAAGCTGGAGGGGACAGTCCTTGGCGTAAGTGCCAGCACCAGGGGCTGCTGGAGCTGCGCTCACAGCCCCATTGTACAGCAGGATCTCCAAAGGGAAGCTGGGAAGATGGTCCTGAGACATAGGACATTCCCATAGGTCCTCCACCAGGGCAGGCAGACATCAGCATCCCACTGGGACCTGGTGCCCGCAGCAGAGAGGCCAACTTTGTACTGGTTCAGGGTGTCTTGCTGATCATCTTTAGCTAAAAACATCATCAGGAGGACCATGGCCACCTCCTCTTCCCTGGGCAGGAGGGCCCATCTGCCCTTCCAAAGGAGAACCTCCTTCCCCTGGGAAGGAAAATCAGAAGCAAGGATACAGCAAAGACGAAGGGGGTGGTTCTGGCCTGGGGATCGATCTACAATCCACCATAAAAAACCAGCTTGAAACAAAACCCATCATTTACTCTTCGATTTGTACAAAATAATAATAACAATAAAAATAATAATAAAAGGTGCTGGTGGCCCCTGGCTTGCAGTGCCCCACTGTGGTGGGGGGGTCTCAGTAGGCAAAGATGACATGGTAGGTGACTTGGTGGCCATTGTCCCAGGCGTAGAGCAGGCGGTCCTTGGGGTTATAGTCTATCTGCGTGGTGTAGGCATACTCATTCTCAAAGAGCAGCCTGGGGATGATCTGCGTGTTGGTGTGCGTGTCAAAGGCGTAGGAGATGTTGGCATTCCTCTTGTTGTAGCTGTCGACCGCGTACAGGACCCCACAGATGACAAAGCAGTTCCCGTAGAAGTTCTTCCGCAGCCCCGTCCTCCACGTGGTCTCCTTCTGGGTGCTGAGGTCGGCTGCATTCAGCTTGCTCAGCACGATCACCTCCTGGTTGAAGCCCTCGTAGTTGATGGCCGGGTAGATGACCCACAGGCCATTCTCATCCACAGCAAAGTCCACGTCTGAGTGGCCTCTCCACCGCCACGGGGTGGACTCCTCGTAGGCCACATCGTGCAGCATGGCCCAGGCGGCCACGTACCGCTGCTTCAGGTCATACTTGATGATGTTGCGCGTGAAGGCCCGGTTGTAGTAGAAGGAGCCGTTGTAGACAACGTGTCCCGTCCCAATCCAGCTGTATGGGAGCTTGTAGGAGTTGCTCCAGCGACCTGCGGGGCAGAGACACCTTGCTGGTGAAACCCTCCCTCTGCTTTGGGGTGGGTGGCCCTGCCGTCAGCACCCTCTGCCCCCAGCTCTGCCTGCGCTCCCTCCATGGCCACGAGCTGCAGCCTGACCTGCCCCATGCTCTGAACCCAGGTACTGGCCCCAGGATGGGGGGTCCCCAGGCAGATCACTCTCCCATGATCCAGGATCCCTGGGAAGGAGGATGCTACTTGGATCAGCCGAGCAGCAGCGAGCATGGCATCGGAAATGGTGCAAAACCCACCTTGCTTGAAATTGTCGAGGTTCCTGAACTCCACCAGTGTGTTCCCATAGTAGTAGTTGGTGACATAGATCCGCTCCTCCCGGGCCAGGGGATCCTTCATCCAGGCTCCCTCATTGCGCCCATAGGTGTTCTGGGTGGTGGGGCCCGAGATGGTGGACAGTGTGTCCTTGCAGCGCCCTGCATGGGCAGAGAAGGGCTTGTGAGGCCCCAGGCAGGGTAGCCACACTCTCTCTGCTCCTGTTGGGGTGGGCGTCCCCCTCCTCCAGCCCCTTACCCACCCAGCAGGTACCCCCTGCTACTTCAGCCCAGTTGCAGCCTCACAGGACCCAGTAGCACTGGCCAGATCCTGCAAACATCTCCTCACAGCCTCAGCCATGTCCCTGCCCCAGCTGAGGCTGCTACCTGTCTTGGTTCCATGTCCAGGGAGGCCCTTTTTTGCCCAGCCCAGCCCAGTCCCTAAAACTGGGGGAGACTACAGTAGGTTCCAGAATTAATAAGCAAGTAAGCCCAGCCGGACACACTGTGGGCACAAACCAGCCCCCACGTGCACAGCTGGGTCGGTGCAGGACCTGCAGACGCTCACCAATGATGTTCCTGATGTCCTCCTCCTCCAGGCCCTCCTTTGGGGTAGGGGGGCTGACTGGTGTTGGGGGTGTGCCCGCCTGTCCCCAAACTCCTGGGCTGCTCTCAATGTCGCTCCAGGCCCCAGTGGTGGTGGCTGGGGGCAGGTTCTCCATGGCTGTGTCCAAGGCTGCCAGTAGCTGTGGGGTCCCCTCCTCCACCCACCCTGCTGGGGCAGTCACGGTCTCTGGGGTGGGGGTCAGCCAGCTCACAGCATTGGGATCTGGCGTGGGGTCCGTGGATGTGGCAGGTGACAGGGGCACTGTGGCCGTCGCAGCAGTGTCAGCAGCCGGCGGGGTGGTGGGAGCACTGCCAGGGGTGGGTGGCCATCCCACGGGGGACGGCTTCCTCACGCCCTCGCCCGCCCTGCTGTTGGGCCTCAGCAGCTGGTCCTCGATCAGCAGGTCCACCGTGTTGTCCCCGCTGAACAGCTCGTCTGCTGTCAAACACAGACACAGGTGTCAGCCCCACAGTCCCCCACAGCCCCTCCGTGTTGGCCCCTCCACGCTGGCCCCCTGCCCCCTGCCCACTTCTCTGTCTTGTACTAAGCCCACATGCATTCCCTCTCCCCTTCCAGTCAGAGAAGGGCTGTGTGAACTACAGAGGCTGACGGTGCTCACGGCAGGAGGTCAGTGAGACCCCTTCACAGCCACATCCACCACCCCAGGCAGGGTAGAGCAGGAGGTGACGGACAGCAGATCTGTCCTGCCAGCTTCCAGAGATGGGGCAGGATGGAGACCCAGC